CGTCTTATCACGAGAACCTTGCTCAGTTTCGAGGACTGTCTTCGGCGCCAAATGCGAGAAGGGTGAGAGTTCAATTTCGGCAGGCGGCACCAATGGATGACGGTGTCGTTGCGGGAGAGAAAATCCCACCACCAGGATGACGTGATGAGAGCATGCAGGAATGATGATGAATTGGCCGACATACAGAACGTCCTGAACGACAACGCGAGCTGTGCACTCCTGCTGAAGGATGGATACGATGTGAACCGGCAGTACGAAGGGACAACCCAGAAATCGGCGTCGTCACTTTTCGAAGCAAGCGGCAAAAGTTTTCGTCCATAACGGATACTGCAGCTCCAAAGTCAATAAGAGCAGATGCATGAACACCGTCCACAAGCACGTCTATGACATTAGATGGGCGGCTCTGAGGGCTTTCACATTGCAATAGCATCGCAGTCCTTGCCTCGGGGACGGCGACGACTAGTTTTCCCGCTCATGAGTAGCCGAACTTGCCTCATGGGGACAGGGAACGACGTCGTGGAGACGGCGACCTTCGAGGAGATGGACCTGGGCGAGACGGCGGTGGCATAGACGGTAGTTCGTCGTGATAGGCACGGCTGAGGTGGCCAGCAACAGGCGAAGAAATTGGAGCCGGCTGTACGCGATGGCAATAACGGGCTACGTGACCGGCGTAACCGCAGGCAAAGCAGATGGGCCGGTTGTCGGGTGTGCGCCATCGGTTTGCTGGGGTAGGTCTTGTCCATGACACAAGAGCCGATGGACGGAACGGTTGGCTGGAAAGGCCGCAGGGGGTGCTGGAGCTGAGTCTGAGAGGTCACCGTCAACATACGTAGCCGGCATAACCCGCTGAAAAGGATGGAGGTCCTGCGGCAGCTTCGGCGTAAGTCAGTGGGGCGGGGCAGTTGAACGACTGGAGGCGGCCTGGCGATCACTTGGGCGTAACTTGGGGTGCGCAGGGGCCGGAAGCTGTTGTGGTTGGTACGCATGCATGACCTCCACTATTTCCTGCTCAATTGCTCGGCGGATGGGTCCAAGAATGGTAGTCGCCGATTGTTGAGCAGCCGGTTGGTGGGCAAAGGGCAGGAGAGAGAACTGCCGCGCGATTTCCTCACGTATGAAGACTTGAGGTCTGCCAGCAGTGCCACCTGATCACAGCTCGCCTCCAAGCCTGCAAGCCCTGCATCTCGTGGTGTGGAGCGACGGGTCATCGAACACTGCCGGCGGAGCTCCTCGTAGCTCTGGCACAGCGTGATGACCTCAGCTACTGTGCCTGTGGTTTTTGGCAAGCAGCATCGTGAAGGCATCATCGTCAATGCCCTTCATGACGTTCCGGATCTTGTCTGATTCGGACATGCTGTCGTTGGATTTCTTGCACAGGTTCAGGACATCTTCTATGTACTGTGAATGATTCACCGGCCTGCTGAGCGCGTTCGCGTAAGCGCTACTCGGCTTGCAGCTTACGAACGGCAGGGTGGCCAAAAACGTTGGTGACAGCGGTCTTGAAATTGGACCAGGTTGTGAAATCGGACGCGTGTTGTTGTACCACAAGCTTGCAACGCCCGCAAGCTAGAACACCAAGTGTGTCAACTTGCCGTCCTCGTCCCATTGGTTGGAGACGCTCACGCGCTCGTAAATGGCGAGCCAGTCCTCCACGTCAGTGCTATCGGCGCCCGTGAAGATGGGTGGATCTCGGATCCTGGGGACACTGGGACAAGGGGGTGACATGGGAGGAGGCGGTTGCTGAGAGGCGTCGTGAGACATGGTAGATTGCAGGGTACGTGAGCGCAGTTCCAAGGGCATCGAAGGGGATCGTAGCACTCTCCACCAATTGTTATGGCGTTTATTAGCAGGCACACAGCGAGTATAGACAATGGCGACAGTAGCGGCCAAGCACGGACTCTCGGCGCGAGCGGCGTCCTTTTTGGGTAGACCCACTAGAAAACACTTGAGAGTTTGACCCACTTCAGTGTTCGGCGGCTTCTCTTCAATATATATATATTCTTGAAGTGCTCGTCAATGTGCATGTTGGCTGTCCTAGAGGGATGTCGAGCAAACGTACAAGTTTGTTACCTTTGTACATTTGATGTATGTCCTGAATATCCGAAATGTACGTCCAGTCATATGCCTACCGGATATCTGTGGTTATTTGGGTTCATGCTTGCCTCTTTGCATCATAGTTTTGTGGCTCGTAGCGAACCAATTTGTAAAATCGCTGTGATAGAACGCTTTTCATTAGTCTTGCAAGACCTTCTATTGTCTAACTACAACTTCTTATGTCACCTAAAGAGGGATGCTTAAAGAAGTAAACAGAAACGTCGCATACACATCACATTTTTTATCCGAAGACGCTGCAGCAGATTAGTTACAATGTCAAGAAAACACACCTTGATTGATACACCACACTTGTTCTCTTTATAAGCCATTCCATTCAGTCATGAATACAATAAAAAACAAATCAACATAAATATTAAATCTCATACGACATTCTAAAAGCTTAAAACAATTACCATTGCGCGAAGAAGATTGTTTAGGTACATTCATTTTTGAATGCGAGTTTTACCCTTAAATCCTTGACACATGACCTTTAACCGCAGTTTAATTCGACGCGATGATAAATTCCTATCATAGATCATTTTTCATATTGGTACAGCTGTCATTCTTGAGTAATGGCTTAGGGCAATCCTTGCAGCCCTGCTCTGTATTTCATGTTTTTCACTTAAATACATATGCCAAGAGATCTCATACGGCACCAGCGTATTCAGGCATAGGGTGAATGGATGCTAAATACACTGTTAATGGTAAACATACCGGTGCCTGTCTCAGGCTTCGCTGTATGAAGTATAACGATTTGGCGGCCTTCGACACCACTGACTCAACATGAGGATTTCATGAGTGGCACTCCATGGTTTTTCACTCGTTCTCCACCTACCCGCGGCTGCACAGAAAAACCTGCTGTTTCTTTTCCACTGTAACACCCGGATTTTCAGGGCGGTTCTTCAGTTCCTTCAGGACACTGGACAGCTGTCTATAGAAGACTGTCGCCGCGTCCTCGCCCATAGCCACTCTTATTTTTTATCCCATCTTTAATTCTTCCTCCCTTGCAGGCGCTGAGACATGCTTCCACTTAAGAATGCGGAAATAGCATCTTTGCACTCCTTATGCTCCTCCTCCAATCGCCCGAGGCATGTAAACTCTATGGCGTATGGTGGCCAGCGAGTGCCACTTCACTGCGGTTAGCATTATTTTTTTGCGAAAGTTCTTAGAATTAGAGGACTTTAAACCTCATAGTGTTTGGAAATAGCAATGTTGCCTTTTTTATATAATTAAGGGTTTCAAACCGTGCTCGAAAGCAAAATTTGGGCTTAAATAGCGCTCACATAAGCGCTGATTTGGAAGACAGACACTTATAGGCATTTAGGCACGAACACCGAAACTAGGCATTCATAGATATTATAAAAACACTATAAAAGTCCTTCTTAACCTCTAATTCATGCTCATATATCAAAATGTTACGATAGGAACGCAAGGAACAAAATAAGCATTTGCTTATAATCCGGTCTCTACTCATCATTAGAGATGGATCGCCATCAGACAAAAGGTGCGAGGTAGTGTGTGCATGTCCTATTCTTATTCTGGTGTTACTTCTGTGTAGCGCGACTTCGATATCGGCGGCCAATTTGCGATATGTGGCTTATGAGATGAAGTTTATTTTGTTTTTGCCTATCCCATAAACGCTGCCAATGATCTCTGAGCTTTTGTTTAAGGAAGGGTTTGAGGTCAAGTGCAGGGACAGCTATAGATGTATTGACAGTGGAGTTTTCGTGTGTGGAAACAGCTAGTTAGTGCGCCAACACGTTCCCTTGAATTTTGCAGTGTCCTGGCACCCAGCAGACTACGACATACTGTTTCTGTGCATAGATCGTGCATAAAAATCAGTACACAGAGACAAGGATAGGGTACACAGAGACAAGGACCTGGAACATGCCGGGTGGTCTCTATCACAGTTAGGGCAGTGAAATTCAGTCACATTCATCGTGAGCGCAGTGTCCTTTAGCGCCCTAATTCGTGCAGGTAAGCTACCCTCGGCCTCTCTGGGCACCGTGACCAAACCGCTGGCATTTATTGCAGTGCCGCGGGTTGGAATAGTAAGGTCTGACTGCTAATTTGAGGTAGCCCACTACTGTTTCTGTAGGGAGTGTTTTAGATCCGAAAGTAAGTATTATGTGCTTCATGGGAATTAATTTGTTTGTTTTCTCTCCTTATAGTTATACACTTCACCTGGATTACCATCTCTTTCCAGCTTTTTAAGAGGTTCTTCATTGGACAGATTCATTAAGTCACAATCTGACACGAAACCCTTCACGGTGCTTTGTGTTCAATGCATGCGATGTTCACGAGCTGATCACCGAACGCTGTCAGGTTCTGTAGCCTCTGGTACTATAGATGATTTTTGACTTCAAGCAGGAGGTCACACTGGCCGTCTTGGCGGCCTTGTAGCCCACGCCAATGGTTTCCATAAGGTATTTTGATACAAAAAAAGGTGATACATTTCTAGCTTTCCTTTCATTACTCTCGCAGTGAATAATGTGGAATTTGGGGTAGTTGTCCGTCTTAGAAGGGAAAAGTTAAAAATTGCATTGATGCGCCACCTCTTGGAGAAGCGATCAGTTCGGTCGGGTTAAGCGGATCCCATGAAATATGCTGCTTATTCGGCAGCCATGCCAGCCACCCGCCTCCAAGCCTAACGAGGGGACGCTACGAGACATGGAAGAAACGTAAGCACCAGCTGCACATGGTTGCTATAACCTAATATATCTACCCAAGGTTGAATATTTACACCAGGTTCACCATTGCTGTCGAGAAACATAGAAGTAAGAGAAGTGAGGAGAAAACAGGAAAGACAAAAAAAGTTATAAAAGACAAAAATGTACTAGGGAAAGAAGAAGACAAGAAAAGGCGACTACAGATTTCCCCTGGGTGAGTCAGCTCAGGGGGGTCTTCTACGTGAAGCAGAGGCCTAGCAGTTGCCACAGCAACTGCTTGGCCTCTGCTTCCTGTAGATTAAAGGGCCAATCACTTAGCACTGGCCCTCAACCCTAGAATCCCCTATTCCCCAAACATGGCTAAGCCACACACAGCTAAGCGGGGGAGGAGATTTAAACCCCTATTAGCTCGGGTCTGTGGTGTCGCAATACACCAAACGCCTGTACGCATAGATGCTCCTGCGGGGAAGGACAGGAATTTAAACAGTGAAGAATGCATACATGGACGCAATATCTTGCGGCATTTAGAGGGGTGGTGCCACCAAATTTGTAGCATATGTGTTCTTTGCTGTAAGTGCTTCCTTCAGCTCCAGGAAGCATGATACATGCACCAAGATTCGTGTATTTTTGCTAAATCATTTATTATTGCTCTACTAATGTGGACCATTTTCGGTTTCAGTTTTGAGATGCAGAGTTGGGCAGAGACGTTGATACATAGGTGGCTTGGTCACGTGACAACACATGGGTGTGATGCACATCGTGCTTCGTTTTGTCTGCTCTCACACACACGTGCCACATAAGCGCCGGCAAAACAAACATGCTGACAGTCACCATGGCCAGCTGCAGTGAAATCCAGGCAGTGACAAGGCAAAAGGTAGCCAGAATAAAACAAAGCGTTTATATTTACAACCTATGTACAGAACGTGGACAAAGAAACCACCTGACGCTAGATGCACCTGCCTTTTATAGGCGCCGAGACGCTGAAAAAGGAGGGGCAGCCCCGCTGTTAGACCTTGTTGGAATATGTCAAGCCGACAGCTAATAAAGGTTGTAAGCCTAGACACAGCAAACATTTGAACAATTATAGTAATAATATGTGGGGTTTTAGATCCCGAAACCAAGACGTGAATATGAGAGAACTAGCGTTCTTTAACGTGCACTGACGTCACACAGTACACGGGCCTTTACCGTTTTGCCTTCATCGAAATGTGGCCGAAAAATTTTGACAAAGAACAACGCTTTGGTGAAAATGCCTCTAGGTCATTGTTTTTCTTGCATACCTTCAAAACTAAGGGGGAAGCCAAAAAGGGAAGATGTCGAGATGAACATTTATAAACTTTTAGCACAAGTACTTCAATAGTTCTACTACTAATAGCACTGCAACAACACCTCTGCATGACATTCCACTTCAGAAGCAAAATGCAAAAAAGTAAAAGCTCTGTGACACAAATGAGCAGAAAACAGCGTTAGGAGAGGTCTACCTATCCGGTATTTAGGCAACTATCGCTTGTGGCAATGAATGTGCACTGCTACTGCAGGCAAGCTTCAGAGATATTCAAGGCAAGAGTCCATCATCATCGCCAATGAAGTTCCATCAATCAGATCAATGAAAACTCATTGCGTCTTTTCCACGTGCTTGAGAATCTGGTACAGTCAGTGCCCCCTCCCTGTGGCAGGCTCCCCAGCAAAAATGTAAAAACTGAAAGCAAAGTTTGGTGTGCAACTCACCTGTATTTGAAGCCATTCTTCAGCTTGCTGCAGTGCAGTCATAGCCTCTTCATTCCTCATGGTTTGGTTTTTATGACTCTTCAAAGTAACAGTAAATGACAAGACATGTTTGCAATAAAAAATGAAACTGCACAGAAAGCACTGGCTTTTAGCCATTTCATAACTGTATATGTATATTACATTTGCCAATTAGCACTCCTGTCAAGTACTTGAAATTACTATATCATCAACTAAAACGACCATAGTTATCACACAATAATGACCAATTGGGTAAAAGACATACAGAAATAGGAAGATGAGATGTGTCCACAGTGTTCAATGAAGCAATAAGACAGGAAAGTGCACAGCAATGTGCCCAGCAAGTTCTGTACACCATGACTCAATATTAGCGAAATGAAAATGTTGTGTAGTGCTGTTCGGTTCAGTTTCGTTTTCGGTTTTAGTTGCGAGGTGGCACCTCGGACGGCAGCGATGTGTTGTAGCATGCACCGCTACGGTGCATATAAGGCATATGTGTACATAGTTGTAAATAAAGCAGTTAGTGACGATGAGTTCTTCGAAGCAGACGGTTCTTTCTCTCGGTGCTACGCGGCCAAGTCGTGGGTGGCTGCCGCCAGCAGCGTCAGCTTGCTGTGGCGCTTTGTTCTTCTTCTTCGTTGGCGTCGCGGCCACTTCAACCCCGACACAACAGAAAATCCCAACTACATGGCTTCGGGTGGCCCGAAAGCTTGTGACTGGGTCAGCTCGCAGGCCGAGCAGCTTAACAACCTCTCAACTCAGGCCTGGGCAAGGCTTGAGCTACTCGATGTTTGTGTCAGGTGGGCCAGGCTACTTGCAAAGCCAAACTCAGGCGCGAAATATAGATGTTACTGAGAAATGGTTCTTCAGCATGGCTTGCGTTCTCCCCCCTGCCGCTTCCCACTCATTGGGCAAGTTCTTTAGGCACAGCATTGTGCCCCTGCATTGTATGGTTCTCCTTTACTTTGGGCCGCATTAAGCACATCATGGCAATTACCTACTATGTGCAACAGCATTTAAAATGTAAAATGATGTGCTGCAATTAAACTCGCTGAATCCTGCTTTCGAGCATTAGTGTTCCAAAAATCAGCACGTCAAGTAATAATTGTTATGCTTCACATCCCAAAACCAGGATATAATTATGAGAAAGACAGTAGTAGGGGGCTCTGAAAATTTTCACCACCTGGTTTTCCTTAACATGCACCTAAATCTAAGCACATGGGCCTCACACATTTTGTTCTATAAAAATGCAGCCACTGTGGCTGAGATCTGATCCTGTGGGTCACCAGCTTGGGCTACATTGCACCGATTTGGCTATTTTCTAAGGGCGGTAGCAGCAGAAAAAACATATTGGCCCCTTCTGGATAGTTTTTGTTCCTTTCGTTTGAGGCAAGTTATCAATATGGTGATTTCGCAGCTGCTGGCGTTCCGAATATAGGGTGTCAGAACATGGCGGCTGGGCTATGTTTCCAGGTCCCAAAATCTAATTTATCACCTTTAGTGCCCAAAATCGTGAGTTTTTATATACGGGGCTTGGTTCCGAGGAAAGCTTGTCAGAAGTTCCAATTTGAAGACCACGTACTTGTCAACTTTAAGCTGAAATTCGAAGGGAACAGGAAAATTGGGAGCGTTCCGCATCAACAACGCTCTGCACTCAAAGAGATTGGGAATCGGATGTCTGCAGAAAAGCTTGTGCTATTTATTAGGTGAAAGTACGGGCTGTGACTCGGGAATATTAACCGATCAAATTTTTCCTCACGCAAAAAACGATTCCGGAAATGACAACTGTTCATGCCTAAATGTTAGCCACTGTAAATTTGAACACACTCACAGGGTACCGATTATCATTGCTGCCACAAGTTGCACAAGAGGAGTGAAGTGTCAATTTCGCAAGAGCTCAAGAAACTTCGTCGTCCAGCAATAAAACTACTGCTAAAGTCAACTACCTTTGCTTGAATTTCTTGATGCTGTGCTGATCTACATTTTAGTCATGAGTCTTTCGCATTTAGTCACTCATCTGAAAACGCTACAGGTTTGAGCACACTGACGTGGCTACTTTTGGCAACTTTTATAGCTCTTCACTCACGTTGGCTTTTTTTTTAGTGTTGCTAGTTTTTCCAATTCGCTATCTATTGCAAACTTTCCTACCAGGCAACCTTAGGGTCACTCAGACATTCAATGCAGAGCAAGGATTGAGCTCATAAAGATGGACCCCTGACCAGATCCACTTCAAACTACAGATCAGCATACTGTACTTCTTTTTGATTGAATTCTGCAATTTGATGTGCCAAACCACAAAATGATTATAAGGTCACCTGGAGCTCTTCGAAAATTCATGTAAATGTAAGTACACATATGCATTTCTGCATTTCGCCCCCTTTTGAAATGCAGCCACCATGGCCGGATAATGAGCCTGTGCTCAGTAGTACAACACTTTAGCATTGCTAAGCCACCATGGCAGGTTTTTTCTTCTGTTTCTGTTGCAATGACACTGCATAAATTAAGAAACAAAAGTCTTTGTTTGTTACATTGTATGTAATAAATAAGTGTGCTATAGTTGACCCTTTCCCTTTCCACTACTTTCTGTCATCTATCTCACTATATTCTGGATAAGGCAAGCAAGCAGCACTAACTCCAGTTTCTTCATTATGCTATTCGTCTCTTTGATGATTTTGTATGATTGCATTGTTCTTTTTTTTAAATGTTGGCCCAAAGAAAATAAAAATAATGTTATAATAACTATAGTAATGACCACAAAAAACAACAACCGAGCTTCTGATCACAGTCTCAGGAAAATGAATTAGCTTTGAATCACAGTGGTCCACCGATTTTCTTGTACACACTGAAAGTACGCACCAGTTCCAGCTTTTTAGTCGGACCATCATCAGGAATTTCACTGCAAAAGGAACAGGAAAGCTTTAATGCTATCACTAGGCAAAAAGCTATGAAGCAGCTGATCTACACGCATTCTCAATAGATATGCAACTGCACATTCTCAACAGATATGCAACTGCACAGCATGTAATAGTACACAGCGACTAGCTTGCAAGGCAACCTTCAGTAAGTATTGACAAAGAAACAAGGAGAATCCAAAAGCCTAGACAAAAAGCAGAGATTAAGCAGTATTATAGTTGCTGCTGTTTAATAAGTGGTACACAAAATTTTTCTAGGGACAGGAAATGCCGCAAGTTGCTCCCTGTCTACTATAAATCTCTTACATTTTTTTACATGGGAACCAGCAAACTCTTTCAAACAACATCAATGTAAAACTCAATAAAGTTTGAAGAGCTACGCTTATGTCACATAAAATTTTTATGAGCTTTGTACAGAAGCTTCCAAGAGTCCGTAAGGCGATGTTACTCATTTGTCCGCATGCAAGATTTAATATCTTAATTACTGTAAACACAATCAAAATGATACAACCCACAAACTATTGAGATCATAACAAGCAAGAGTGTTTCAGGTTCTCATCATAGAAACATGTACTCGTAAGCATGCTAAAGGGCCAGTAAACAGGCTCCGACTATTTTTTTTTTTTGGACCCCACAAGCAAGCTCACCAATTCGTAGAGTAGACCTTGGCGATCAAATTTTCCAATTACAGCACTGCGCAGACCATTAATTTCAAAAAGCGATTCCCTCGCCTCTTCCCCTCTGACTAATGCCCCTCATATACACAGTGACGTGAACTTGCCCATGGGCAACTTGATGTGCCCCTGAGCTTGTCGGTTGGTCCCTTGCCCTAAAGATGGTGCCTTGGTCCTGAAGTGATGTAGATATGGCCATGCAGTCTGCATTTTACAGCGAAAGCTGCTATGGTATCACAATAAGGGTCCCGTGCCGCGTGGTAGTTGTCCGCCGTCACCGGTGTCCGCAACCTCTATCGCATGAAATAAGAAAAAAAAACTCAAATCTAAAATAAAGAATCACGAAGGACTTAATGGGATTCGAACCAGCGTCCCTTGCATGCCAACCCAGTATTCTACCACCAAGCCATGCTGGTTCCTACGACTCCTTAGCAAACTGACCTTAGGCAGACTTTATATCGGGAAAAGAATGGCATTAATACAAGTTATAAAGCGTTTTAGAACAGCAAAGGAACAACCAGGTGTCACATATTGCGAATTGCACAATGAGTGGATTGTCGATTGTTCCGACCCATTACAAAAGCTTGATCTTGTTCACCTATTGACTGTGGCGCATACCCACTGTGGGGGATTGTGCCCCGGACTACAAAAGCTTCTGGCATAATTCATCATCGTCGTCAGCCACAGCATGAAAACTAATTGCACAAAATTTCTTGAAAGTGAGCAGTGGGTACCACGCTTCTCAGAAGAATGACAAAGAATGGCACAGTAAATGCCTGCCACAATGATTGATAGCGTAGAGGGTACCCTGCAAATGTGCTTGCAGCAGCTACCCAAAGAGTGTTAAAGAAGACTCTGAAAGGCTGCTCTTCCAGCTTTTGCTGTGACAGTGCTGCGTGCATCGCGTAGGCTTGGTGGTCTTTTAAATGTGAAGTATTTTTTTGTGTACTCCAGGCACATTTAGTGACTGTCTGCCTGTTTGTCTATCTAGCTGCCTACGTTTAGGGGCTCTCGTGATCACCCACTTCACTTGGTGAGAACCAAAATTAGTATGAAGAGCAAGACAGTTTGACGAATATGACCTGCTGGTCGTGACATGAATAATCTCACAATCCTGTTGCGTACGTCGTCAAACACTATCTGCCAGACAGTGGCTGCGGGTATGTGCCACTGGTAAGTGGGTATGCGCCACAGGTGATTGACAGTTTATCTGTACTCAGAAACTGCAACAGACATTGCTAAAGAGAGTGTTAAGAAAAACTGACACCGGCAGTGTTGACCCAAAGAACATCAGGGTCCCAGTAGGAATTGAACATAAGCATTCTGCATGGCAATCAAGTATTCTACCACAGAGTCATGCCATGTCTCGATACTGCTTTGGAAAAAATACACTATCGAGGTTCAATGTTAGGGAAAGCTCAATTGGGTTTCAATGCTGGATATTCAATTTTATAAACATCACATATGTACTCCTATGATACAGACGTTTCGTCAGGTTATCGGGAGTTGTAGTTAATTGCCATCCACTACAGTTAATTTATGTAGCAGTGTCCAAGGCTACCATCTTCCTGAGCACAAGCCTTTCATATCAGCTTACCTAATACAGTAGCAGGGTCCAAGGCTACCATTCTCTTGAGCACAAGCCTTTCATATCAGCTTACCTAACACAGTAGACTCCCATTAAACGAAACTCTCTTAAACAAAACTGCTGCTTAAATCGAACAACTGCCTCTAATATAATTGGTTTCGCACTTGAATATTGTACCCCTGTTTATCTCTCAGTAAACAAAACTCCTCTTAAATAGAACCCATTTTTCTGGTCCCTTCAACTTTCGTTTAAAATCAGTCTACTTATGTTACTGTTGGCACCAATGTGCAAGTGTAAACAACTGGTTATGTAAAACATGTGTGACTGTTCAATTTATGTTTGTGCGTACAACATTTTTTCATATATTTAGCATCATTTGATAATGTGTTGCTCAATAAAAAATTACAAAACGGTCACCTTCTCTCTGGATGTTTCACATAACATCGATTCCCAAGGTATGTCGATCTACCGAATTGTTACCTGTGCTGCCCTCTGCCATGTTGTAGAGCCCGAGACTACTGGAAGAAGCGGTATAGCTAGGATGAAAGGCTGCCAGATAAAGAGGTGTCTCACTACGTTACTGCAAGGACAATGGTGCTTTTTGCATCCTGCCCTCATGACACCTCCTCATGTGGGGGAAGCACTGCTCAGCCACTGGCTGCACGCTTATGATGTATCAATGAAGTCTTGTCACATAGCCAAATCGATCGATCGATCGATATGTGGGGTTTAACGTCCCAAAACCACCATATGATTATGAGAGACGCAGTAGTGGAGGGCTGCGAAAATTTCGACCACCTGGGGTTCTTTAACGTGCACCCAAATCTGAGCACACGGGCCTACAACATTTCCGCCTCCATCGTAAATGCAGCCGCCGCAGCCGGGATTCGATCCCGCGACCTGGGGGTCAGCAGCCAAGACCTTAGCCACTAGACCACCGCGGCGGAGCCACGTAGCCAAAGCGATAGAGACACAGACGAGCCACCCTTCCCCCTCGCTATGGTGAAGAATGGCGAGGCCACGTAAAAATTTGAAACCAGCTGAAATGAATGTTCTAACCCCTGTAACTTCCTTATTTGCGAAATTCTTGTAGCAGCATGATTGTGCATAGTATTTCTCTACATTCTAATTTTTGGACTTCGGGGCTGTTTACTGGAACTTTGACAGCAATGTTGACAGGGATGGTGGTAACACTGCACTTTTGCTTTGCTACTAGTTTTCTGAAGTATAGTTGTCAAACAGATTGAAAGTTTTCATTTGTTTGATATCGCACTGGCACCTTAATTAAGTTGTCTGTGTAACATACCAGAGCCATATTTTATTCACAAGTTTAATACACCCCAGCCATTAGATCTAAAGGTTTCAAAGGGGGCCATTGAACTTAACTCAGATATGGTACGTAGATACACAGTGAAAACCAGTGAGAGTTAAGCCTTTCTTCTAAGAATTTCAAACTGTCTTGATCATATCATCACGAAACTCATTTTTACAGGATGCTTGCTTTTGAAAACTATGATTCAGAGAAATACCTGTCTCCTCTTCTGGTTTTCTAATGCAGACCTTTCCCCATACTTTTTTATTACTATTATGCTTCCGCTTCTTTTTACTGACAATTCAGCCCGGCAGCTTATCTCAATATTTATCCCTTTCTCCTCAGCCTCCCACCCGGTTTTGTATTTTTGCTCTCCTCTTATGTTTTTACCGGGGAGAGTGTACACAGCATACACATGTGCTAAGGTAGGCAGTTAATGCCTTGTTGTAATGGCAAGACGACTTGTCGAAACATTGGCTCCAGTGACAACCCATGTTCAAGAATTATTCATCTCATCAAGTGGTCGTCTTCCCTTAACTGTTGCTTTACTTACACATGAAGTGACAACATGGTTTCGCATTGCACTGTATTTGCTAAACAGAGCTTTTTGTCGCTATTTAAAATGTCCATCGCACCTAAGTTGTAATCAATGATTGGCTGGCAAGGTAGGGGGCTGTTACGAAGACGAGACGCCAACACAGTCCCGAAGGCGCCACTGCTCCGAACTCCGCCAACACGGTCACCAGCCGTTTGGTAGCGTGTAATACTAAGCTTGCGACTGCTTCTGCGCAGAGCTGATAGATGAGCGAACGAGACGACGGTGAGTTAAGGCAAAGTTTATGTATAGCAAAGAAATAGAGGCGTTACAAATTCGGCCCTGGGGCCGACAGTTTAGGGACTCGAAGAGCCGAGAAGTCTTCTCTCGCACGCTGTTATTATGAGGCGCACCACCGACAAGGTCACGATGGGCGCCAGGAAACTCGCCGCTGCCAAGGACGCCGGGCGCGCCGACTGCGAAGGGGCTCGAACCGACGAGAGGCTTCTCTGACCCATAGGTCAGCTGCTGGCGACGCGCCGCAGGGCTATTTTTATAGGCACCGGGTGGATCCGTTGAGTAACTAAATGTCCAACCAAAAGCGCCACTGGCCGTGATGTCGGAATCCTCCAATGGGGCCCGCCGCTGCGCATGGTTGCACCAAGGTCGAGCAATGTCGCCATGCGTTGCGTAAGACTCGCCAGACTCGAAGGCGCCGATTGCTGCGTATGGTTGCAGCCAAGGACGAGTGACGTTCCCACGCATTGCATAAGACTCGCCAGACTGGAAGGCGCCGATAGCTTCAACAGGTTTGCGGTGCATTGCATGACAAACTGGCACCGCCGCTTGAAGACGTCGTTGAGTTGGTCGCGTCA